ATACATCTTCTCTACTGGACTAATACGGCTTACCCATTTACATTATACTATACACTGTATATATATATATATATATATATATATATCAAAAATACATATATAAGATAAAGTGCATAACAAGAATAGTGTTCAATTAATTTCCACACCTTACAATATTAGAATAAATGTCTTCTTAGTTCACCAAGCTTCCATTCCATAGTGCATATGTAAACAATGCAGGTGTGCTTCATATAACATCAAAAACATAGTGCTTCTTGTGTGAAAAAATCCAAAACCACCTGCAAAACTCCATGCTCTTACTGTATGTGCACTGCTCCCACTCTCCATACTTGATAAACTAAAAATAATGGTCAGATAACAATCATAAACATCCCCAATACCAATCGCTGCTCACAGATATCTCTACTCCTTCAATAGCAGTTAGTACTCAGAGAAACAAATAAAATATTGCATAGTATAAAATCCTTAAGCAAACATTATTAAAAAACAATCATTAGCTTGGTCTCATTCGGTGCTGGTCACCACTAAAGCCTGGACCCAGGAATGGAGATTTCTTCCCTACCGATTCACTTAGAAATCTCCTGGCTCCAGGATCCCAGTTATAATTTTGAAAAACCAGAATAAACTGTAAAGCCAGCTTTTCCTAGTAACAGTGCTTTCCTGGAACTGCTCAGCCCCTCTGACTGAGATTCCTACCAAACTACATAGTGGCATTACCATGCATTGTTATTACATAACTTTGTACAGCACTTTGTACATTTCCTCCTTGCCCCTTGTTTTGAAAAGGGCTAATGATTTAAACAAAACACAATCATATGATAATTAGGAAGCACCACTTCTCAACAAAGTAAATCTCGGCTGCATAAACCTATATTTTTTTCAAAGGCTATGTAACTCAATGCTGAAAATTCAGATTTCAGTTGATTATGGCGATATAAAGCACATATAGAGACCTTACTTACCCCTTGAGCTCTGGTGGCCTTCTATTATGGCCATTAATACCATGTGCTCTATTCCCCTTCGATTCCCATTTCACTGTTTCTGAGAACTGTGAGATGGTATTAACTAGCAAGGGCTATAAGCAAAATTGTGATTTAAGAGCTTCAGGCAGCAGCTCTAGATACCTAGGCCCCAGATCTCCATTTACATACTGTTTTCCTACCAGCACAGGAATCACTATTCTTTTTTTAAGAATGAGTTCTTGGCACCTTTGTCCCATGTTTATGCTTATACTAAATTCTCATGAATACTTTTATTATTACATTTTTATACTGATTCAGTATTCTGTGCTCAGTAAGCTTTTTTTTTTTTTTAAGTATGCTGTGCAGAATAGTGATCCCTTTAACAAGACATTCTTTTTTTCAGAGGAGGAATAGTAAATGCCTTTGCATGTCAGCAGCTGGCCTTTCAGACAGAATGAATGCCTGTGCATTTAATATTTGTTTGGTTTTAGTTACAAATATCTAACATTCCTTTTAGATGCATTTAAAATGGGTTTCCTAACAAGACAAGTCTTTATAACTCTGCCTTTATACTCTATACACAGCTCACTGCAGGGTAAGAGGTCCCAAAGACACTCACCTAGGCAAATTACAATAGTACATTTTGTTCAGTCTGCCAAGTCTTGCTTATTTTTCTTTCACAGCTCTACTATGCGTGATTGCTTTTCAATGATGAACCTTATGTTATATATTTGGAGTGTAACATTTTTTGAAAAACTAGTGGTACTATATGATATGTATTATATGCTCTAACCCATGAGGTGAATTTCTCCACTATATGTGCCAAACCTAAAGTATTTGGTAAAACCATATAAATATATTTCCAATTTCCAATTGTTTTTCAACTGATCTTTTACAACTTTCCAATTTGTTTTTAGATAGAGAAGGGAAGAGTTAAGTTAAGTAATCTGTCAGTATTTTTTTCCATCTGTAACTTGATTAGTAAGCTTTTTCCTCACTACCTGTCCCTGTGACATCCATACAAAAAAATGGGAGGGGGGTTATGGGCTTTACAGGGACAGGAAGGCATGAGTAGTAATGAAAACATTGTCAGATTTTCTAACCCTTCTCCACACTACAAAAATGTGTTTTTGTGTCCACAGTAAATACATTTTCCATCACTTCGCATCCTGACAGAAAGTGATGGGAAATCTTCCCAACAGGGACATGGTGAGCACTAAAAAGGTGACAGAAGCTGTAACCGTCCCCTTACCACAGTCATACTGTCAAGGATACCAGCACAGGTGACCCCACACCTGCGCAGGTACCCACACAGGCAGACCAAACCAAAAGTAACAGGCAAGCAAACCCAGGGAGCAAAGCAAAACACCGGGGGAACTAAGGGACAAAAGGTCAGGGTACAAGGAGCTAACAGGACTCAGGAACATAAGCAGGTCATGGCTCCGGACAACAAGCAGGGAACATAAACAGGATACAGGACTTGGTGGCAGCTGGGAGACACCTGCAGGTGAGCACTGGAGTTGCAGTTTCCAGCACCACCCAGTGGAGGTCTGGTACCTAGCAGTTCCTGGCTGCCTGGAGACCCCTGCAGGTGAGTACGGAAACTGCAGGGCTTAGCTCCAGCGCCACCTGGAGGCGCTCTGGATCCTAACACATACATACACATTATGGATGATTGTTCAGTGGAAATCTGTTAATCTGCCAATATGCCTTTGGATTTCATGAGGATGTCAGAGTACCTTAACAAAACCTATGCAGACACAGTAAGGAAATACAAAAACCATGCAAATATTGTCCTTGATGGGAGCCGAACCCCGGACTTTTTTGCCAGTCTAGAATGCTAACTTTTAAAACACAATTCTTTCCAATTTTAAAAGGCTAGTCAGAAGTTTAGCGATAATCAAGTGGAGTAGTAACTTGAGGAGTCAGAGCTCCTGATATGTATATTTGTTTTGGTCTGTAATTTAGAATATCTTCAATCCATTAAATCCATATCAGTTTAGCAATATGGCTAAGAATGTCTCTCAGCACGTGATGGTTTTCATTTATATTATGAAGAATGTGGATGGAAAAGTGAAACTACTGATGTGTAAGAAGAAGTCAGACTGTAAAGTGGGGAGCAGAGCAGAGAACTGTGATTTTACCACTAGCACCCTATAGAAAACAGTGTAGTGAGTGAAATAGCATTTCCAGTGGACTATCCCTTTAAATGCATTTTCCTTTTGAGGTTGTTCATACATGTAAATAAAGTCTTTGTAATCTGTATTTGTAAAAGTGTGGCCTTTAGCTGTTTCTGGTCACTGAGCATTAATTGTAAGCTGTAATCTGCAGCCAGAATTCCATGCTGATTGTCCTCAAGAAACCTGAACCACTATCATAACTTGGCTTCTTCTTTAATAGTTCTGGCTCTGCTACAGACTTACGTGATGAAGAACTGTTTATAATAGCCAGGCGTTGTGGTTTATTAACGTGCTTGGCAAAGGGTTCATTAATTGGCAGATGAGCTGACATGGCAAATGATGGTTTGTAATGTTAAGCAGGTGTTCTCTAAAGAATTGCATTGTTATGGCTTACCAGGGCCATATTGTTTTTGCCAAAATATTAAAGGTGGAATAATTGCGAGGTTAGCATTTTGTTGTATATCACCTATGTTTTCCCTTCATATCAGGTGTGTTTATGGGTACTAAAGCAGATGATTGAGAAAGTGCATGTATAACTATTATTTACTTCCTCGCATTGCTATTTTTCAGGTTATGTTTAATTTTCTATTATGCAGGTATATCTTGTTGATGGGACTGCAAGATCGGAATGAAAAGCTGTTTTACAAAGTTTTGACATCTGACATTGAGAGATTCATGCCTATTGTTTATACTCCCACAGTAGGCTTAGCTTGTCAACAGTATGGCTTAGCGTTCCGAAGACCAAGGTATTGTGAACCAATATTTTAGGAATTATTTTGTAAAGAATACAATTAAAGTGATATCACCCACAAAAATGTTTAGCTTTTGAAATATGTCATTGTTAATTTAAAATTGTGTCTTAAAAGTATAATAATTTATTACATGCAAAAATTTAATCTATTTCTGTAGTCTTCTAGTTTGAGTAAGTAGCTGTATTGGGCACAGAAACATAGACCAATGTACTGGATTTAGTATTTTAGTGCCCATTCTCATCTGCATCATTTGTTGCGTGATAATGCATCAAAAGAGGAATCCCATAATTTACTATGGTGCCCATTCACATCTTTGGGATTTGCTGTCATGCGTTTTTGCAAATACTGCATCTGCTTGCTTTGGTGTGATAAATTGAATTTTTAGCCCCATAGACTTATTATTATTATTATTATTATTACATATTATTTCTATAGCGCCAACAGTTTGCGCAGCGCTTTACAATATAAGGAAGACATTACAGTTACAATACAATTCAAGACAAGATGGTAAGGAGGGCCCTGCTCCTGAGGGCTTACAATCTAAAAGAGGAGGGGGAAATGATACATGAGGTAGCTGTGGTAGCTGTGGGAAT